GAATGAACTGAGAGAAGGTACAGATGCTCTGCATTCAGGCACCCCTAAACTCTCAGACCTCGCTCTATGTCTATCTTCATTTGGCTAGTCCTGATTTGTATCTTTTATAATAAAACTGTAATCATAAGTATAGAGCTTTCTTAAGTTATATGAGTCATTCTAGTGAATCATTAAACCTGAAGGGGTCATGGGAACCTCCAAATTTGTAGCCAGCTGATCAGAAGTACAGGTGGCCTGGGGACCCCCAAACTTGTGGCTAGCATCTGATGTGAGGGTAGTCTTGTGGGGGAGGGAGGTCATGGGAATCCCCTGGACTTGTAGCCAGTTGGTCAGAAGTATGGATGGCCTGGGGACCCTCAAACTTGCAATTGACACCTAAAGTGAGAGCAGTCTTATTGGAGACTTGACCTTAAACCTGTGGAGTCTGACACTAACTCCGGGTGGTTAGCATCAGAATTGGATTACTCTATACTGCAACATGCAAGACAAACTTTCTATCTTCAAGGAATTGTATGTTTATCTGTAGGTCCACTCAAGCCCACAGACAATCCATCACTGCTAAAAGAGCCTAATCAGCTACATAGGTTGCTGAGCCCCAGAATAAGGAGTTTTGATTTTGACTTATCGTACATTTTCAAAATATTATTATTTGAATCTTTTCTTTTGGCACTGTCTTGGAGACAGACAAAACTAACCTACATACAGAACAGTTACATTTCTAGAACAACTAGGTGAAGATGGATATATAGTTAAGGCAATTACACTTCACATTTACCAAAACGAAATTGGGATAGTTTCTAGTGGGATTTTAAAATTTAAAATAGCCTTCCTTATTTGAAAAATAGTATGTGTTCAAGGTTGGAAAAAAATAGAAAATGTAGAAAATAAAATGAAAATAATCTCATATACTAATAATACCACTATTCAGAGAGAACCATTAGTACTCTTTTCCCTCCCATCTCCACTTAACATATTATAAAGATCTGGGGCCGGCCTGGTGGCGCAATGGTTAAGTTCACACGTTCCGCTTCGGCGGCCCAGGGTTTGCCGGTTGGGATCCTGGGTGCAGACCTACACACTGCTTGTCAAGCATGTTGTGGCAGGTGTCCCACATATCAAGTAGAGGAAGATGGGCAAGGATGTTAGCTCAAGGCCAGTCTTCCTCAGCAAAAAGAGGATTGGCAGCAGATGTTAGCTCAGGGCTGATCTTCCTCAAAAAAAAAAAATTATAAAGATCTTTCCATGTCAATAAATATCCTCAGAAATTATAAAATGGATGAATGATCATAACATTTCATCACTGGGGTAAATCATAAATAGTCCCTTATAGCTCAAATAATTTATTTCCAATTTTCCTACTATAAAAAATAATGCTGTGATAAACATTCTTGTAACTAATTCTCTGCATGAAACTATTATTTTCTTAGAATAAATTGCTTGAAGTATAGTTTCTAAGTCCAACGATATATTCTTTTTAATATCAATTTACACCCTTGCCAGCTTTGTGTATGAGAATACCTGTTTTCTACACTTGACAAGCTGGGAAAGCTCTTGCCTTTGCCAGTGTAACAGGCATGTTCTCAGCGTTGCTTTAAAATGAACTTCTTTGATTTCTTAAGAATGTTAAATCTTTTTAAATATTTTTTGTCAATATTTTTCTTCCACTGACAACTTTCCGTTCATGCTCTTTTTGTCCATTCTGCTTTGGGACATTCATGTTTCTCACTAATTCATATATAAAGGGATTAAGCCTTTTTCACATACATCCACATACATTCCTAGTTTGTCATGATGCAGTTCAGGTCACTGTGAATAAGACAATGTCTCTTTAGGAGCTTTATAAGACAGTCACAAAAAAACATTGACTATATTATTATTTTAAGGCTAAACATTTTTACTAAAAGGTTCTATCATGGAATAATAAGGACCTAAGTAAAGCAACTACTCACAGTCAGTACTCAACTCAATGTAAAATAACCTATTAAACACAGATTAGAGTTTTCTATTCCCAAGCTATATACATTTTAAACTCTAGAAAATGTATACTTATTCATTACAACATAAGGATTTGGGATTTAACACTAAGTTTATTGTTACTATCATTACTCTGAAAGTCTGCATACAAATTCAAGCTTTTGCCGTTTTCTAGGAATGTAAAAATTTACAAAAGTAAATGTATAAGGAAGTGCAGAAGAACAAGGTAAACCTACATAAAGCCAAAAGAGGAGGAAAAGAAATTTGGTGTCAAATAAAAAATGGATCCTTAAAACAAACTTTAATGCAAAAAGCATACAAATCTATAGTTTTCTGAATATTGCATCTTTTTTGATTAGCTGATGAAGAAACAGTACAGAATCTATTTTTTTTAAGATTATGAACCTTAGATTGTAAAAAAAAAGTCACTGCTTTAAAATGTTCTATCATCCACAATCTTATTATTCATCATCGAATTATAAAGTATGTGTGTGTATGAACTTATATCAAACATAAACCACTTACAGAAAGCAAATTCTCTTCTACATCTGATGCTGTGTATATGTATATATATTAACTATTTTAAAAAACAAACAAACAAGTCTACCCTAGGAATTTGCAGGAATCCCTTTACTTTTTTTTTTTTTGAGGAAGATTAGCCCTGAGATAACTACTGCCAATCCTCCTCTTTTTGCTGAGGAAGACTGGCCCTGAGCTAACATCCGTGCCATCTTCCCCTACCTTCTATGTGGGACGCCTACCACAGCATGGCTTGCCAAGCGGTGCCATGTCCACACCTGGGATCCGAACCAGCGAACCCGAGGCCACCAGCGCGGAACGTGCACTTAACCACTGCGCCACCAGGCCGGCCCCTACATATTTTATTAATTAATCCACAAGTCACCAGCACATTTAAGGCCCAAAAACTGGCCAAATACTACTTCTTATTTTAATATAAATAAATTCGACTTAAAATATCTTTCCAAGTCACTCCTCTCCAGTAGCAAACTCATGGGAATTAATATCAAGGATTCAGATCAAGTCTTTTTCTACTTTTTTTTAAATTTAGCTTTACTGCTTTTAATTTAAGCTGCTTGATATTTATAATAACTCAAAAATATCTGTTATAAAAGTAAGTGAAAAACAAGGCAAAAAATTGAATTTGTAGTTTGCTCATAATGATCTAAAAAACTATCCACCTAAAGAAAATAACATCAAAATGTTAACAGTAGTTATCTTCAGCTAGTAGAATTATGGAGGATTTCTTTTCCCCTTTTCCTTTATAACAGATTTTCTTAAATACATAAATGAATATGTATTATTTTTATAATTAAACTTTTTTTAGAAAAAGATAAAATGTACCAAGTCAAGTAACTAAAAGCAACTCCTGATTCTCAAGCAATTATCTCCTCAAATCAGGGGCAGTGTTTAAAAAAACTTTATCTGGTAATAGTTGCTCACAATAATAACTACAAAAAATACCTTGTACTTCAAACAAGTGCAGTAACATTGTCTATTATCATCTAAGTGGCAGTACTATATGCTTTCCTGCACATTGTTTCATAAGCCCAAAGGCTAAAATAGAAGTTACCAGTTACGGTGGAACTTATTTCTTAGTAAAAAAGTAAATATCTTCTTAAACTAAATCCCAGATTTTTCTCCCCTTTTACTCCTATAAAAGTAGTTATAGGGGGCCAGCCCCGTGGCTGAGTGGTTGGGTTTGCGCGCTCTGCTTCGATAGCCCAGGGTTTCAGCAGCTCGAATCCTGGGCGTGGACGTGGCATCACTCATCAGGCCATGCTGAGGCAGCATCCCACATGCCACAACTAGAGGGACTCACAACTAAAAATATACAACTATGTACTGGGGGGCTTTGGGAGAAAAAGGAAAAATAAAATCTTTAGGAAAAAAAGTGGTTATAATCAAATCAGAACATGTAGACTATATATGGAAATATGTAGTATATCTTGGAACATAACAAAATCCAACTCCCCTTCACCTTCAGGATACTGTACTAATGACCATCAAAAAAATAAAAAATCTGCTAGCTAAAAAGAAAAAAATGAACTTAGATATGAACTAGTAAACCAAAGAACTAGGATATTAATTTTAACCTATTTGGAAGCACAACAGAGAAAGAAAAGCCAGCCTGTCCTATTGTGGAAATAAGGCTGCTGAGTTTGCTAAGACAATACAATTTTTTTAAGTCACCTATCTGGGGAAGACAACTGACAAGAGCCAGGGGGTCAAAGGAGAAATACAGCATGACTTGCTGCACTCCCAAGACGCTCAGAGAGGTAAATCTTTACTCAGCTCCCCTTCTATTTCCAAGTCACATAAAGAGACATAGGGTCAAGTTCAGGAATCAGAGCCAAGGATAAAGAAAGTAAGCACAATATCTCAAGTGCCAATCTTAACCTAGCTTGTGAAACTTAACCTGGAAGGAAAGTTGTCAGTTATCTAAAATAATGAAACCCGATTTTATCCTACAAACTGGTGGACTATTTAAAAGACAGGACAACTTTTAGTCTCCATGTATTCTGAGGATTTTATTTTGCATATGTATTTACATTCTTAGTGTTGAGTTTTCTCAAATTTAATAAAGAAATCTATCTCCTTTTTCATAGCCTCAATTTCCATTTAATAATAAGATTTAAAAAAAAGTATAATCTTAGTTTCAGCTCTACCATAAAATAGCTTACTGGGCTTGAGGAAGTATCTGGACCTAAGTTTCTCCACTGTATACCAAAAGGAGCTGGCCCAAATAACTTAAACGACCCCTTCCACTCTAAAATAATCATTCTATAATTGTTCATGACGGCATCAAGCTGTTTTGGGTAACATTCCCCTTTAAGTAGAGAAACAATGCCCCTGGATTAAAACAGGGGGCAGACTCCTCAAGCAATCATTCACCACATTAACACTGGTGAAGACAGTACTGTGGATTCACCCCCACCCCAACTCCATCACTTTATCCAACCTCCAGCACAACAAACCCATCACTACCTACTTATTAATTTACTTACAGAGGAAATGGGTAAACCAAGCCCCACTGTGCTGAGGACAGTGGTTGTGATGGTACCATCATGGTACGGATACTGGATGCTGTTGTCTTTACAGAAAAAGCCTCTCTGAAATGGATATATTTGGCCCAAATTTAGAACAGCCATAGGCATGGAAGCTGTTGGGGAAGGGAAAAAAAGACACACATGGTTAAGTTCAATTCACTCTGTTAGGAAGTAAAGTCTACTGAATGGGATGCAAATCTTAACCAAATTTTGCCCTTTCTGAAGAAGGATCAATACTCCATAATATCCAAGAGTGAAGATTGAGGAAACCATGCAGCATTAGGTTGTCCACATCAGTCCCACTTTCAAGTAAAAATTCTCTTACTTGCGTTGACCTCTGATTTTAGAGACAATCAATAAAAGAAACCCAAAGGGAAGAGAAGAAAATTGGCCCAAGGTAAAATAAAGTTGGGAAAACAAGAAGGCTTTATATTTTATATTTTGTAACCAATTCACCTTTAATTGAATTGCTCAATATCTTAAATATGTTTAAGAAGAAAAGGGAAAACTCAGTAAATATATTTAATAATTAGTAACATCATAACAGCTAAATGTAGTTAAGGAGGGTAAAGATATAAAATTTTATTTCACATCAAAATTTAAATTAATAGGGTTAGGAAAAAAACAGAAACCATAAGTACATTTGATAACAAAAACAGAAAGAAACAAGCCCTTTGTTTTCCAAAGACAAATTAAAATGGTGTTCATTAGCCCTGGCAAGGCTCCAATATCACTTAAGTTGTAGAGAAATAATTTTCAATTGTAATTTTCACCCAAATAAAATTAAACACCAAGAGAAATTAAATAACTTAGATCAGTAGCTTCTTAAAATGTTCAAACTGACCGTGCTTTTAGGCTTTGTTTTATACAATTCAAACGCTCAAGCATCTACTCACCATATGCTCAATACTAGACTAGGCCATACATAGGGGAGACACATTATTGTAAAACAGACACAAGGTTCAAGAGCCTAAATTGTACATGCAGAAACAGAATGCATACTCAGGAAACTGTTGAAAAAGTAATACCAAGATAGATTTTGGGGGCATGATTAAACTGTTCTATATCTCAACTGTGATGGTAACCCCACAACTCTAAGCATCTGTCAAAAAAGGTAAATTTTACTGTATGTAAATTTTAAAAGAAATACCATAAAAGACAAAAAATAGGACTTTTCTAAAATGGTATAAAAGTTCCTACAGAAATTCAGAGGTCAATGCGAACTGGAACAGTTAGAAAAAACTATTAAAGAAAAGGCAACTGAGTTGAACTTGAAAACAGCAGGTAAATCAAAGGCAACAGGGAAAAGGAAATGCTCAAGGAAAGCATTTAGTGGTAGAGGGATGCAAGGACAGCATGAAGTTGCAAGAACAAGAGCACAGAGGGAATGAGCAAGGAGTGTTCAAGGTATGTAACATTTTATAGCCAACAGGTACCACGTGCTCACACATGCCAGGCACTAGGCTACAAAGATTAACTCAACCCTTAACCTCAACCCTGCGAAGTAGGTACTATCACTTCCCCCATTTTCACACAAAGTTATTATGAGGCTTAGAGAAATGTGGAACCTTGCTGAAACTAGTAAGTAGTGCCCAGGATCCCAACACAGGGTATCTATTTCTAGAGTCAGTGGAGGCAAGCGATCTGGCCAAATTAAGAGGTTAGAGATGTAACAAGGAAGATACAATGGAGGGAGAGGGACCTAATAAAAACTCAAAGTTAATGGAACAAAATCTTCTTTGCTGCACATTACTCTTAATTCTGCAATTTTGTGGGTTTTAATGGGAGAATGAAGCTTGAGATTTTTGTGTTTACTAAAAAGATAACTTAATTACTGGCCTAAGAAAGGAGTTATCCTGTAGGAAATAAAACATTACTGTCCTCTTTTATTTTTTATTTTTATTTATTTTCTTTTTTTGAGGAAGACTAGCCCTGAGCTAACATCTGCCAATCCTGCTCTTTTTGCTGAGGAAAACTGGCCCTGAACTAACATCTGTGCCCATCTTCCTCTATTTTGTATGTGGGACGCCTACCACAGCATGGCTTGCCAAGTGGTGCCATGTCCACACCCAGGAGCCCAACCGGGGAACCCCGGGCCGCCAAAGCCGAAAGTGCATACTTAACCGCTGCACCACCGGGCCGGTCCCTCACTGTCCTCTTTTGCTCAGAGTCAGCAACAGGATAAAATAAGGGCTTTTAGACATTAACTTTTAAAAAAAAAAAGTAGAAAGGGGAGCATTTAATACAGCTTTGAAATAATCCAGTAACTAAGTGATATGTAGTATGTTGATAGTGAAAATAGAAAAGGATGCAAGAAAGAGTGTTTTGAATATGGAAATGACTCAACTTGATACCTGATCACAATTGCTGAAGCAGACCTGAAGATGACACTTCAGGGTTGAGAAGTAGGGAGAATGATGGTCCTATTGACATAAATGTGAAGCTGGGAAGGGGAGCTGATTTATGGTGGAAGAAAATTAGTTTAATATTGAGAACACTGCTTTTCACGTGATCTGACACCTTCTTAAATGCTCAGCTCAACTTTTACTCTTCCCCATGCAGCCCTTAAAGCTCCAATCATACTGAACCTCTTGCTGTTGCCTAAACATACTATGTTTTCAAAACTTTAAGTGCCTTCATATATGTTCAGCCTTCTACTGAGGGTACCCGCCCTCTCAATTCCCTTTCAAGTCCAAGCCAGGCACTCCCTACTTATCTGTCCTAGGGTACCTTGTACATACATCTATCACAGTGTATTTTAAATTGCTCTCTGCATTCTGTCAGCAACTTGAGGGCAAAGACTATATCATTCTTGTATCCTGTGCACCAAGGACACAGTTGGCTCTGAATAAAAATTCACTGAATGGCTAAATGAATAAAATTCAGGATAAAAATCAGAAGTAGAGAGAGATATGCAAGTTGTTGACATTAGAGGTGGTAACTTAAGCCAGGAAAATGAAACAGTTCTCAGAGAAAGTCTAAAGTCAAGACTAACAGAGACAAAACAATCAGCTAAGGACTAATCTCCAAGGTGAAACCATGAAAAGGGACTGCAGTAGAGAGAGGAAGAAAGGATGATTACATGCTCTAGAGGTCAGGACTTCATCTGTCTCATTCAGCAGTACATACTGGCCATTCTTTGAACAAAAGAATGAACAACAGAGAAGTAGGACAATGTTGTGATACGAAAGCCAATGGAAGTAGTTTAGAGTATCAAGTCTACATCTAGGTAAACGTAGGATGTCAAATGCCAAGACATCAAAGAGAGTGAGAACTGAGTAAAGACTACAAGGTTTGAGGAAAAAGAGTGTCAGTGGTAACCCGTGAGAGTGTATTACACAACCTCCACCAACACAACAATATCTTTACAAAGAAACTTCAATAATGAGCTTCAATATTGGGCTGTCATTGTCTAAGCATGAGTCTCTTTCTTCAAGCTAAATATATCACAATAATTTCCTCTATTGCTCATATGTTTTATATATACACATGTGCACACACACACCCACCCCTATGGACTGAACTGTGTACCCCCAAAATTCTTATGTTGGAGTTCTAACCCCCTATTTTACTGTATTTGGAGATAGGGCTTGTAGGAAGTAATTAAGGTTAAATGAAGTCATAAAAGTAGGGTCTTAGGGCCGGCCCAGTGGCACTGCAGTTACAGTCGCATGCTGTGCTTCAGCAGCCTGGGATCCACTGGTTCGGATCCCGGGAGAAGACCTACTTATCAAGATCTGCTTATCAAGTTATGCTGTGGCAGGCGTCCCATATATAAAGTAGAGGAAGATGGGCATGGATGTTAGCTCAGGGCCAATCTTCCTCAGCAAAAAAAAAAAAAAAAAAAAAGAGGCGGATTGGCAGCAGATGTTAGCTCAGGGCTAATCTTCCTCAAAAAAGAAAAAAAAAGTACAGTCCTAATCCAATAGGATTGATGGCCCCATAAGAAGAAGAATAAAAAGAGATCTCTCTCCCTCCACATGCATATACTAAGGAAAAGCCATGTGAAGACACAGTAAGAAGGTGGCCATCTGCAAGCCAGGATGAGAGCCCTCACCAGAACCCAACCATTCTGACACCCTGATCTCAGAATTCCAGCCTCCAAAACTGTGAGAAAATAAATTTCTGTTGTTTAAGCCACCAAGTCTATTGTATTTTGTTATGGCAACCCAAACAGGCTAAGACACACACACACACAAACACACACACACACAGAGGCATATCCATCCCTTTAGAGTAAACAGACACCTCTACTCTAAAAAGCAACGGAATATTCTCTATCTGCTATAGAGATTATTTTCAATGGTAATTTTTTACAGCAGTAATGGAAAGTTCTGTGTCAAAGTTAGTGTTATATAGTAAGATTCTTCTCAAAATAAACCCTTTCACAGGACAAATATATCCTTTCCTTAATGTATAAAGGATATAGACACTATTCTATAGAATTACTAATCATAATTCTAAGATATTTTTCTCTTAATTAAAACGCTCTTCTTAAGAGAAGTCACTTTTTAAAAGCTCAATCTTGCAGGGCCGGCCCTGTGGCCTAGTGGTTAAGTTCAGTGCACTTCACTTCAGCAGCCCTGGTTCAGTTCCTGGGCATGGACCTATACCACTTGTTGGCGGCCACACTGTGGCGGCGACCCACATACAAAATAGAGGAAGAATGGCAACAGATGTTACTTCAGGGCAAATTCTCCTCAGTCAAAAAAAAAAAAAAAAAAAAGTTTAATCTTGCTAAACACATTTCAATCTTGCTAAATGCATTTGTTAGCTATGGTTGTCTGCTCTTAACACATCCTTTATAAGATATATTGAGAAAGATAGATAAATGAATACCTGGATAGACATATGTATGGATGAATGTTTCCTATATTCTCCAACTAAGTGATAATTGAAATCTATCTCATTTTATATATAGTACATACTTCCCTAAAGATATGCTATTACAAAATATTCCAATGGAATAAATCTAAAATAAATTTTAAAGGGGCTGGCCCCGTGGCCGAGTGGTTAAGTTCGCGTGCTCCGCTGCAGGCAGCCCAGTGTTTCGTTGGTTCGAATCCTGGGCACGGACATGGCACTGCTCATCAAACCACGCTGAGGCAGCGTC